GGCCAGAGACTGGCATTATACACTAGCAGAAAGGACTGGATAGTCACAGAGTAGACATGATCAGTCTTAAAAAAAAAATGAGCAGACTCCTAGATGTTTACTTCTCACTGTCAAGGAGTCTCTCTTGTTCCTGTCTATATTCCTGCTCTGTAGCAAAAGCACACAATGTATATTAGTAATACTAATTAACAGTAGCAATAAACACTAATTAAAAATACTTCATGTATTAGTTACTGTATTTGCTAAAGCAGCAGACACCCCTGCCATGAATCTCAAACTTCTAACCCTGCAAATGAGGTTCATAATGCCTTTGTTTTTTCCCAGCTTTTTTTTTAGATTTGTGGGAAGTTGAACACAACATACACTACATCAAAAACTTAATATTGCACAAAAGATGGGATGTAAAACTTCCTGGAAGAACTTTTATTCTTCTCCTTATGCATATAGAATATATTAAGGTAAAGTTCTTAATCACATGATCACAGAGTTTTCCACCTGGTACCCATGTCTTCGTGTGCATGCTATGGATTCACACTGACAGCGAATTGGGGCTGTACATAAAACACTCAGACCACTATTTTCAGGACTCCATCCACCCTTGCCTCAGAAACAGTAGGGTGAAAGATAGGCTGGGAAAAGATGAAAAAGAAAGCCTGCACTGAAAATGAAGGTCTTATGTCCTGTGGTCAAGACTACTGCCGTGTTGCCCCAGGATCTGGACTCTGGCCTTCCTCAGCATCACAGGAGGATTCTGTGACAAGGAAGCCAGTTCAACGAAACTTTCAGAGATTGTTGCTAATCTTGTGCTTTCTCTGCCTCCAAGAGTCAAACCTGACTATTTTAGAAATGCTGTAATGCTTCCAACTGCCTCAGGTCAGTGAGCATATTGCCTTGAACTTAAAGATGAGTAAAATGCCAAGTACTCCAAACAAAGTCTTAAAACACATACACAATATTCACCAATACTCTTACTTTTATCTGTTCTGATAAGGCTCAGTTTATTCATCTCCCTCATCACAGAGATACTGTAAGAATTCACTGATATTAGGGAGTCACTGGTATAAACTGCCAAGGAAATCAATAGTACTTCTAGGGCAGGGTTTGAATGCAATGCAAATACAGTATAAACAAGGTGTGGAAGGAACTCTCTGTGTAAGTAGTAAGATATTTATTTTGAGGGGTGAGGTACAAAAGGATTTTGCTATATTCTTTTTGCACTTCTTCCCTGTGCCTTCCCAAGCATTGTTATTTTAATTGTAGGTAACAACAGAAAGTTGCAAAAGCAAGTCAGATTAAGAGAAACTTTATCACAATCCACTGGCTCCTATTGCAACACCTCCAGTGTTTCACATCATGGTTACTGTTTTAATGACTGCATGTTCTATGAATAAGACTTTCAGAGTTAAAAATTCATAGCCAGATCTCCCTGAGAATCACTGAAAGTTAAAGAAAATCCCCCTGATTCCAGGATGCAAATCCTCCTTGTGCACATTACAAGCCCCAAATAAAACACAATTCACAGGGCTTGCAGTGATATGGATAGGGGACAGGGGATGAGCCAACGAGGCTGGTTGTCATAACCCATCTATGGCTTAATCTTTGTGTAAATCTCTTTATAACAAGACAAAAGCGAGGACACACTTTTATTGGTTTACAAAATGTACAAGTCACCCTGCCCACACACCCACTATCTGCAGGCTGGAAACAGCCAATCTGACCACGCTGTACATTCTGCCAGATTCACATTAGGCTGTGGCTATCAGTCAGGGGAGAACAGCTGGATCAACTACAGCAGCCCAAGCCCAGAGCCCAAGGACTGAGCTGCTCATGACATGGGCACATGCCAGCTGTCTAGGCAGCACACTCTCTTCTAACAAGCACCGCCTCTCTCTCTATGACAAAAGGGCAGCAGGGAGGGCACCAGTGGGATGTCAGGGCTGACATCCCCTGTGGGCTGCCACATCGACTATACTGGCCTACATCTACTCTGCTCTACCATTCTTCCCTCGGGCTTTCTGCAGTGTCAGTACTGTTCTGCTACTCACCACAAGGTGCAATTAGGAAGAGAGATCACCCTGCTGTATACTAATTCTCAAAACCACTTATTTTTCAGTCTTAAGATTGTCAGGGGACAGGAACTTTTCCTTCTTTAAGTTTTTATGCATCCAGTACATAGACACATACAATGCTACTGTCAGAGCAAGACAACTCTGCTGCCATAACTGACAGAACAAACTTGATGTATTCACGCCACCTGCTCCAGGAAGCTAAAGGAATTAAAGGTTTGCCAGAAGCAGAAGGCAGAAATACGGGTCTAAATTAATCCTAAGTAATTTTTATAGTAAAATTCATATTAGAGGGATAACTTGCAGTGGGCTATTGTGTTAAATGTAATAGGTAAAGCATATAGGCATTCCTGCACAGAATGTCTCAGTTTCATTCTGTTCATAGTTCAGTCAAGGCCAGCAAGTTTCTTTGCAGAATATCTCACTCTTCCACCATGCAAAATCAGTGTCTGTTCAGACTTTTGCAGATATCTAAATCCTTGTCTTCGTGCTAATTTAATAAAGCCATCACATCAATTACTGAAGTTTACCAAAGAAAGAAGAACAATATAGAACAGTATTGACTCTGCCCTTGCTCAATCCAGCTCACAAGTTCTCTCCTAAGGAAAGAGCCCATCACATTTTCCTTCAGCTTGCTCACACATTGACTATTTACTAGTACAAATGAAAGCAACTCATCCCACCACCAGTACAAACCTGGTAAAATCCAAGGCATCTTTTCAAACAGTAGCCAAAAGACACAGTCTGAAAGCTGAAAATTTTGGTGACAAGTTTTTGTTCCAAAACAATAAATAAGATGATAACCATAGCAATGTGATGACTTTTAAACCTAGCCAGCCAACAGATTTAGTTTTAAAGTATATTTCATAAATAATACACTAATGAACTTCACAAGTACTTGGGTGTTTAAGGCCAGGTGTTTTATCTACCTCCCTTCCCAAAGAGAACAAGCAAGTGCATACATCACCTCTAACAATTAAAAAAAATAAATTGGAAAAAAAAAAACCCACACCACCACCAAACCCCAAAACCCAAGAAACTGGAAATAAAAAAAGAAAACCCAAACCACCAAGAAACAGAAAGAAAAAACAAGAAACAGAATATAGCTGATGTCTTTAACTTTTATCCTGACAGCTTCCAATGTGTCCCACACAGATATTATACCTTTAGCACTAAGAACCACCCAAATATAGCATAACTGCCAGCAAATTTTTAGTGTTTGGTTTGTTGTTTGTTTGTTTTTAAATAACTCTTACTACTTCCTGTAGCCACCAATAAGTTCCCTATTGCAGTGAAATCATGCACTCCTCACAGCCAGTACATTTTCTAAACAACTGACATTCAACAATAGATAACATTGAAGCACTGGTAGGGCAGCTTTGGAGAGTGACATACAAAGCTTTGAACAAAGGCATTCACAGAGGTCTCAGGAAATGGATTTTCATATGACTAGCCATAAGAGTACACATTATGATAAATGCTACAGGCACAGAGCTCTCCTTAGTTACTTCGGCTCTGTGCAGTAACTCAACTTCCCCACTCTTAAAAGGTACCGAACTGAAGAAAAAAAAGAGGAACACTAAGTTATCTTTCCAGTTATTTTTATGCACCTCGTCTGCACACTCCAAGATGACTGAAATGGAGCTGAGTGTATCATGTCAAAGCAACGTAACTCCAAGTCAGGGCATTTTTTGAAAATTTTATATTCTTCCTTGCAGAATTCTGCACCTTTCACTTCAAAGGACACCCAAGGAAGTATTTTATGACTTCACTGAAATACTTTTCACCCACCAGTTGAACTATTTTTTCCCCCCCATTGGCTAAATGCACATTCTTCATCTGTTTAAGACTGCAATAAGGTGGCTTTTAAAAAAACAAAAACTGGACGGAGGACTGGTAGTCAACTTGCATTTGCAAACACACTGTGCCACTGTACTGTGTTTTTATTTTTAAAAACTGTTTCTAATCTTAAAATAATAGTTCTTTTAGGCTAAGATAACATTCTTCTGAATGCCTTTGATTGAAGTGGCATTATGAAGTCTTCCCAAGAACAGTTTTGGAGTAGTTTCAGGTTGCAAGTCCCCAGTGAGCTTAAACTAGCTCACTAGCTCCAGACAACAGGACAGGCAGGACAGCAAAGCCCTTGGCATAGGCTGCAACGGACAGCAAGAGCCAGTGTGAATACTGGGGCAATATGTTCACAGAGCTTAGTGCTCTTATGTTAATATTTCTAGATGAGCTTGAATTAGCTAGCTACTTCCACCAAATAAAGTCATACAAGTTGTCATCAAAGCAGTTCAAAAGAAAAATCTATGTCCATTGAAAACTCTGCAACTGAAATATCATTCTGGAGGAAATTTTGAAATTTGAAAATTTTAAGTAAACTGTTTTGAGTTTACTGGCTTTAGAAATGAGAGAAATATTAACTAGGATTGTGGACAACACAATGCTGAATGAGTAATGAAATGTCACTCTTCCTGATGAAGATGATTTGTTAAATACATAGAGAAACAAAAACAACAAGGAGATTTTACAGTGTGATTGTAAAAAATTTCCACAATTTGGATTCTTTATATGATTGACCTGTTCCAAATGTTAGATTGTTATGCTTAACTATCCAGGGATTTAAATACTTTACTGAATCATAATTTAGAACTAAAAAAAAAAATCTGCAGCTGCTTTCTGAGAAATCCTAATCTAAACTCATTTAAGGAATGGCCTTCCTTCAGAATAGTTATTTCTCCAGTTTCAATACAAACTATCAACATATTTTGAGGACAGTTTTAATCCTATAAAGTGTATTTCAATTTGTTTCTCAAAATATCTGAGATCATACCTTCTATATTAGCAGTTCTCTGCTAGATGGAGGAGAAAGAGCCAACTAATCAGTTACAGTACCTTCATTAAAAAGTTCCTTAATTTTATAAGCAGTACCTTGGATGTAAGGTCTCGGTGGAAAATGCCTTTATAGTGAAGATAACTGATTCCCATAGCAATGTCATATGCCAGTTTCACCCTCACTGTCCAGGGCAGATGCTGGTTACTGTCTAAGAGCTGTTCCAGGTTACCACAGTTGATGTACTGAAAAGACAAAGCAACATTTGTACTTAAGTTCATGTATTGTCAGGAATGTAAAATTCATCATTACACAAGCATCCTCAGCTCAGCTACACATGAACAGCAGCTTTTTTTTTTTTTTTTTTTTTTTTTTTTTTTTTTTTTTTTTTTTTTTGCGCAAAGCTTGCAAATCAAGAGAGGCTGAAAAGGTCTCCCTTCACCACCTGTGCCAATGCATTTATTTTAAAGCTGCATACAACAGCCATCACTGCATTAACTCTATGGTGTTTAAACACTGGTATTTAAACAAACCCTTCAGCAATACCTGCAATATAGTATCACCCTCTCATTTCAGTGTGAGGAAAATAAGGGCAAAAGGGATGAAGAGCTGGCTCTCACACAGAGTAAGTCAACAAAGACAGGGCTAAGTATCCAAGTGTAGGTCACGAAGCCTGATCAAATTCCCAGATATTAGTTCCCTAAACTGAGGCATCATCAAAGAAAAATATTACAACATGTTGTTGTAAGTAACATTTTTTCACTGCTGTATCTACAAGTCCTAATCAGCAATCTGATTCCCACTGTGTTCAGTACCACATCAAGCCCATCAAATGGTAGCCCACATGGAAAGGGACCTATGCTAGGTATAAGATAAATGCTACAAGAGATGGGGAAATGAAGCAGCACTCAAGTGATGCTAAGTAACATAACCCAGGGTTAAGACACGGCAGCTCCACTGCTCAAATAATCATCACAGCAACACTGGGCTTATGCTTTATGTATAGACCCTTTATACCACAACAGCAGCTATGCCATGTTTGAGTAGCTTGTTTCACCCCCAGTACCCTCACCAGCAACAAACCAAAAAGACTAGCTCACCACGGAAGGAAAACTTGGCAGCAACACAGTGACTTGTCTCAGGAAAATCCAAGCAAAGCAGAGATGATAATTTGCTCCCAAGCCTGGTCCAAGCATGTAACAGTACAGCAGGCTGCACCAACTATGCTCCTCTGTGTCAGACAGCTCTCCAACTCTTAAGAGGCTTTGCACTTCACTGTGTCATTCACCTGAACAAACATGTGCCGCCATTATCACTATAAAATAAAAATCATAACTGCGGCTCTTGTTATTCCAGAATCTTTGAACTTGCTGGTATTTTGTTGGGCTTCTTTCTGTCTTGGAGCCTGAAGCACAAGGCAAACATAACATCACACACGGTGCAGTGTGGATGTAGCTATCTCCTCAGACTATGCTGTAGCAAGGAAAGAGCACACAAACCAGACTACTAGTAAGTCCAGGGGTCCACCTCCTCAACAGGCTAAAAAAATGATCTTCTTCCCTACAGTTAGGCCCTATATTTTTCTGAGATCACCAGTTAACTTAGAAAATCTTTTTCAGCAGATACACAAGTTTCACAAGTAATTATTTCACAAGGATAAATTGTTCGGGCAGATGAGGCACAACCAATTTTAACCGCCACAGAGCTTACCTGGAGAGGGCACCACAAAGCAGTGTGGGGCTCCACTGCTCCCCTAGGCTGCGAGCTGGGTCCGTCCCAGCCCACCAACAGCAGCACATGTCACTGGCAGTCCAGGATGTGACCCCTCTCTCTCTCTCTCCAAAACAACCTGGCTCTTATGCTAGGAGTTCGTGTGTCAGGAGTGCGCAGCAGCTCTGGAACGGGTCACTCGGAGGCTATGCAATCTCCATCCTTGGAGACTTTCAAGGCCAACTAGACAAAGCTGCCGCCAACCTGACTCAATGTTGGAAACAATGCTGCTTTGAGCTTTTCCAACTTTGATCTTTCTTGTTGCTTTTATTTGAACCTCTAAGGGAGCTAGATGACCTTGTAGAGCACTCATGGAAAAAAACATCACTCAATATAATTAGATATTTTTTTTTTAATCACAAGTTGCGAGCACGCTTAAGGAAAAAATGGTGAATAAGAGTTCTACATTAACTTCTTATATATTCCCAGCCTTCTTGGAACAGTGTGAGCAGCACTTCCTATCCAGTTACGTTCAAATCAGAACAATATTGACCAACCCAGAACAGGCAGCACTAAAGCACCTAGCTCAATAACACAATCAAAGTGACACTTATCAATTATCTCAAACCATTCTACCTTACTGACTGGACAGTAACAGACTAGAGTATCCATATAGCACTACCATACCTGTATTCATTGTCAAGAGAATGTGAGGGGGGAGGGAATCACTGGCCTGGCTTTCTATTTTGGTTAGGGTTAAACTGTACTATACTATGACTGTAATTGCTCCAGAAATGCTAATAAATAGAAGCAGCAACGCATGAGTATTGATACACATACTGAAATGTGTCAACAGCTAGCTACTATTTTGAGCATGCCCGTGTGTTCCTTTTCAATAAAGTAGGCTACTGACTCGATCCATTGCTGCCATATTACTTAAGTGCATCTAATACATCTATTCCCCCAACACCCTTCCAGTCAAATTGTCTTGCATGGTCATTCACCCATCTTAACTGCAAGGACTGGATTCTAGCATCATCTAGGTGAAAACTGATATATGAGAGGATACAGCATGCACGAGCTGCTAGAGCAAGAATCAAACCTGACTCTAGCACATATACAAAAACCCCTAGGCCTCCTACCCAAAACTGCCACCTTGCAAGCGCTCAGCCCTCATTTATTAGAGATGTGAGTTCTGGGTTTGGATCTAATTTCTAGTGCAATTCTATGAAGCGCAGCAGGCTAATCATCAAGTGAACAACTGAACTAAGATTTTCCTATAGACATCTTTAAGACTCTAGTGGATCTCAGATTTTAGCTGTCCAGCAGGTAATAAATGCATGCAGAGTCCTGAATTGTCCCTAAGGCAAGCACCACAGAGTTCATTGCTCCCTCAATGTCACATAAGTAATCCAATTCTTCAGTCATTCAGGCTGATAATGCAAACAGCCAGCCGATGGCCTATTTTTGAGCCCTTTAACAATGTGTTTTCGGAACAGACACAAAATGGTGTACATTATTTCCTAATTGTCAGTGCAACTGAAAGAAAAATACTCGTTCTCAGTCTCTTACTAGCACAAACCAGCTCTGTGTGGAAAGAATATCCTTAAGGATATTAAATGCACCTCTCCCAAAGAGAATACTGCATTTTATTTTGTCCCTGGAACATTTCAGTGCTGGTACAGTAAGGCTACAGAACACACAGCATCTCAAAGCATTATTTTACTACAACAACAGCAGCCCTTGCATAAGTGTACAAGCAATCAGAGCAGGGATCTGATCGGGCTACAACAACGAAAGCAAAGGACACTACATTTCATACAGAGACCTCACAGCTAAATGGAGCAGTGTTCGGACCTTTTCAAACTCTCTATCATCAGGTTGCAGTGAAACTGCTACCCATTATTCCTACTGCGAGCTTTTTGTCATGTAACAGGATACCAACAGTCAGTTTACCTGGTTGCCAGAGTCCAAAAGTAACAGCTTTAGGTTCCTTATTTTTTGCATTTACAACTTAACATAGCAAATTGAAAAATGGTCTTTTTAAACCAGTGTAACCCACAAAAAAATTATTTTCCTACAAATTTATCCATGGTAAGAGCTCATGGTTTTGGTTGCTAGAATGAAGTTCAGCAAAACTGGTTTTGCTATACCTCTTCCCAAACCTTATGAGGAAAGAGGGCAATAGCTTTCTTGAAGGACAAGTTACCCAGAAGCTCAGCCAAGCATAGGTGCTTTCTGGAACAAAGAATGTTGAAGAGGCTTCTGATACTACAGCTTAATGCTATGAAACGTAAAAGCAACAGTATACAACCCTTTCCCACACAACAGTCAGGGCACAGGGAAACTTAAGAACAGGATAATAGGATTGCTGCCTTGCAAGACACTTGCAGTCACATTATCAGACTCAAGCATATGAAATGAGGAATGGAATGAAATTCAGCATAAAACGGTACTTGCACATAGCATAACATGCTTAATTTCAAGAGACTAATAGTGAGCTTCAGCTGTCATATTTTAGCCTTCAAAATTCAAAATAAAGGTTTGAACACACTAATAAGAGAACTAGAAGCTTTTAAAGAAAGGTGCATCAGATTCACATGATTCCAGCAGTTATTGATCAAAAACAAAGACCAAATATTGCCAGGTCTGAGGGGGAAGACTGAAGGGAACTGCAAAGAGTTTTCAATGCTACTTTGAAAACCAATGCTGTTTCAATATGTAGGTCTAATAAGCCACCACATATTGGACAGGAAAGCCAGAAAAAAGATGACTTGATGTTTACTCAGCTTTAAATGTCACTGCTTGCCATTTAAAAAACAACGAATAACCACAAGACACCCCTATATGGTAGCCCAAATATTGCCAAAGGCAACAACATTAAGTGGTTAAGAAAAGTAGGTGTGGAGAATGCATTTAGGATGACAGACCAAATGAGGTAAGCAAAATATAAGAGCTCTAGGGACCCAGAACACTACAAGACAAACACTGAGATAGCAAGGAATGAATATACTGGAGAAGCCCAGTGATGAAAGCAGGCAGAGAAGCAGGATAAAAAACAAAACTAGAGTCACAGCTGTGGCATCTTCAGTTGGACTCTAAAGGGAGACCTGGAAAGCAAAATAATAACATTTCAGACATTGGTGACAGATGCACTGAAGCAGCATCAAAAGAGATACAGATTGTGTATTTGTATTTCTAATGCTGGAAGTAAGAACACTACTAATAAAAGCTGAGATCTTTCCTCTCACTCAGCTTTCTGCAAAAGTGGAAAAAAAAAAAAAGCTTTTAAACCACCAATTTCAAGGAGGACACAACCCAATCTTCAGTTCTCATATGTTTAACAGTCATCTGTCACATTCCACAGTCTCTAAGTGACTACTTTGAAGGCTTCTGGCTGCAAGACAACAAGCCAACATACCCTTCTGCCACAACTGGCATAATTAGCTACAGTGGGAGGACTGGAAATTTCCTCATTTCCCCCAACTGTTTTCATTAGCTTCAACTGTGCAGAACTGGAAAAGAAAGACAGTAT